GTTTTTGTCTACGAAAAGGAAGTTGTTCAGATTCATGATCGCTCTAGGGAAAAAGGAGACTGTTAAGACGGTGTCCGTGTCTACCGGCAAGGCGCCCCTCGAATAGACATCCTTTGTGGCGCAAACGTAAGGATTTCTATCCTTAATAACAACATACACCAATATAAGTGTTCATGTCGTGTGTGGCTTTTGGGGAAAAAATATAGGGTGAAGTGGAAATTAAAAACAATTTTTATAAAGTGATGTTGGATGACACCAGTCACAAATCATCTAAGACCACCGGATGAACTTTGCTCTCCATGTCAAATTGTGGCTGATGCCATACCGCAATTTCAGTTGACATTGGTAATGGGCGAGGATCAAGTCATTGCTTGGCATCCGTGTGTTGTGGGATTACTCGTCTCTCGTCATAAAATGTAAGGCTTTCCATTAGAATCGCAACAGGAGGTAAAAAAGTGAGAAAAGAAATATTACAATTTTAGTCTTGATCAATCGTTTTCCGTCTTGTCACCGAAAATCGGACGCAGATTCTTCTTGACATATGATGGTGAAAATTTCGTGATAATGCACTAGAGGAGGTCACCCCTTATCGTCCCTTCTTCACATTCCAACAGCTGTAATATGTGATATTTGTTTTCAGGTGAAAGAAATGGATCCTGCTTTCATTTCACGAGTCCACGTCCATCAACCTTTCTGGTCGCTACGTGATGTTTCATTTCATAAAAAATTGCCCAAGAGCAGTCCTTCCAAAGCGGTGGATGGTTCCTGCAGACTGACGCAGCGGTAAAGTAAATCTAGGAAGAATAACATCAAGAAGTATAAATTCGGCGCCTTTGATTTAATGTGACCAGATCACGTGCGCATCCCATGCACTGCGAATAATTTTTCTTTGAATAAATCTTTCGATCAACCCAATCCGATCGGGCGTGACGTCATGGTCCCCTTCCTTCAAATTTAAATCACACGGAGCCACCCCTCACGTCCAGGCGTTGCTCAAAAGAGTTCAATTGACACGACTCTACACGACAAAAAATGCATACTTCCGGTCCAGTTGCCTCCTTATTTCATTTTTATGGATTTGGTCGGTGTGGTGCGAATTGACGGGCCCTTCGCGGGTTTTAAAATACCATTCTTGTGCACTCGAACGCCCATGCGCGCGATAATGATGATGCTCAATCTGAGTGTCTTGTACATCTCATTGGACTCAAATCTCGCTGCTACACAACAGGCTCCAGATCAGGCTTCGCCCTTGTACACATTTTGTAACATGGTAAGTGAGACGATTTTTGCTCTTTTAAAGCGGTGGAGGTCAAGGATAAGAAGGCGAACCGACGCCGCGACCTGCAACCTCATCTGACCCCAACAATATTTCTTTCTATTGCTCTATGCAGGCCACCAGCCGTGCCACCCGTCTTCGTTCAGAGAAGTTTGACAAAAATGTTACCAAGCGAGGAAATGTCCCTGTTGGAAAGGCGGCGGTACGTCCTCAATCAAAGTCATTGGCGAAGTCATAGGAGTCATGTTTACTTCTCCATCTTTTCCATAACTTGCGTATGAAGGCGAGCGCAATTATGATCCGTATAACGACACCTGAGGTCTTCATTTTCGTGGGCTTATTTAGGCCGATTTTTGATAGCAACGATATCTTCTGCTTCCCTTTTTTATTACTATTCCCATAGCTCTCGTGCTCGTTCTCTGCGTATTGATGCCCGCGACTCATTGAAGAACCCTCACCATTCCTACTCCTTCTGTCATAAAATTTCACAGAAGCGAGAAGAAGCTCCACCCGTGAGCCCTGTACTTTTGGGTTTCTTCGTTTTTGTGGTTGTGGGTTCCGCTTTCTTTCAGATCATCCGAACTGCTCAAAGCGGGCCCATTTTTTGAGACAGTAAGAAATGCGATGCTACAAAACTTGGACCAAATTATCTTTGCGGAAAGGAAAGAGACGACATGACGCGGGGAATGTATGGGAAGTTTGAAACTTGGGCACGTTGGAATTCGGACATACGTCTGTGTTGCTCATCAAGGGATGGTAGAATTCGATGGGGCATTGTCGGGCGGAATTACGAGTTGGCATTAACTTGTAAGCTGGCAGTTTTGAAATAAAAGCGAACTATGATACTGCCATAGGTCGAGCTTCGTGACGGCTTTTCCCTCGCGGAAGGCCTTTGAATTATTTGCGCCATTTTATCCCGGATCATATGTACACACTATGTACACTCAGGGTGGCCTTTCAGGAGTGATCCTTTTTGACATGCAGCCAATAATATAAAGAGTCCTCTCGCTTCAAAGCAGCTTGGTGACAAGTTGTTCTGTGAGTAATGAACGCACTCATTTCCTAATATCTTGTGTAGCAGGGTATGTGCCCCGAGCGCTTCGCGTGTGTACTGATAAGTCAAACCCCCCGCTGCCTGTCACGAACTTTGAGGACATATCTCGCCACGTCCGCTGCGCTTTCTTCGAGCTGTCTCCTTGCTCTCCCCCGTCGAGAGACGCCGTCGATCTTACACAGGTATGCTTTCCCCGCTCGATCCTGGCGGTCGTGTACGCCTTGATACGGCTGGCCGGTACGATCAGGCGACCCGTGTTTCTCTTGTCCACATCTGCTTGCAAGGGAGGGTCCAGGCCCGCAAAAATGCGCAAGACCTCTTTCTTCAAGGCGCCGCTCCCAGACTTTCTTTTCAGCCCTTGGCCAACAATGATCACCCAAGGGGACATGCTCTTCTTTCTTTTTCCCCAAGGAAGCCTCCGTTGCTCAAGCTGCTCGGATTCGAATTCCAGCAAAGCATACCTGATTGCTACTGTGGCCAAGGGACATGAGAAATAGTGCAAGTCCATCACCCGGCCATTGCCTTCCGTTTGGGACCACGGGCTGAAGACCCCTTGCTGATACGCATCTCGGTACAATTTCTCGATGAATAAACCGATGTTTAGCTTTTCCAAGCAAGACATAAGTGTCTTGAGGGATTCAAAGCGCGCGCTGTTGCCTTCGGCGTCCCGGGCGCCAGCAATTGGGTGGCGGTACTCGGCTCCCGCCGTCACGTCGACCCCCATCCACGTACCCGTCTCGCTCTTTTCCCAGACTGAGTGGACTTCCGTCCTACTCGGGTCCTTCCACCCCAGGCCTCTTGCGTCCTCTGCTGCCTTAAAATGGGCATCCTTGACCACGTCCTCCAGCCCTTCCCCCTCAGAGGCCCTTGACGCCGCGGCGGGTGCGCCTCCTGCCCGGGGCAATGTAAAAGCCGAGTCGTCGTACAGGTACATGGCGACTGGCCACGCCCCTTTGGCCTCACAGGCAACGATCAGGGAGGTGTATGTCCAGCCATCTGGCGCCAAACCTGACGGTGCCCGTGACAGAAGCTCCCGGTACAGAGGAAGGGCCCCCTCGTCCAAGGGCGTCGCGGCCAGGCGTTGAGCCACCAGGAGGGCGTTGAAGGCCACAATGTCGGGTTCGGCCCCATTAAGATGAATGGGGATTTTATTGAAAGTATCCACCGCCTTGGCAAGTTGTCCTCCACGACCGTACGCGCCAATCAGAGCGTTCAAGAAGTGCCGAGTGTAGGGACGACTGTCTTCCTCCCACCTCATGACCAGGCCTTCGATTGCTTTGGGTTGCCTATCGAGCGCGCCGCCGGACAAAATTACCGTGTACATGCTGTCTTGAGCGAAGACGGGGGGCCCGTGGGCGCCTATCCTGATCTCATCAAGAACTGCCAGGGCTTGTTTCCAGTCTTTCGTCTCGCTGAGGGCCTGGAGTCGGTACAAAAAGCTCACGTTGTCCGGGACGACGCCGTGTTTCTCTAGCATCTTCCCTTGCAATTCGAGGATCTGATACCATTCCTTGCCTTGTGCCAGTGTTGCCAACACGTCGTTAAAGATGTGGGTGCTGATCTCCGTGACTTGAGAGATCTGGGGACCATAGTCAGCATCGGTGCCTCGGACAACCCTTTGTGAGGCTTGCCCGTCCTGCTCTTCGTTCTGTAGCTGCTGCTCTCGTAGCGCCACCATGCGGTCCAATAGTTGCACAGCGCCCCGCCAATTTCCCGACTGTCTCAAAGTTGCCATTTGCGCTTTCAGCACGTCTGGTGTTAACATGACACCATCTTCCTTTGCTTGGACGAGAAGCTCTCCGACCCCCCCAACGTTGCGCGGTCGTGTCGCCTCGCACTTCAGGGCCCATCCGTAGACTTTCTCGTCGGGCAAGAAACCCTCTTTTCGCATCTCGCGCAAGGCGACACGACAGCCCGCGATGTCATTTAAATGCGCACAGAAGCTCACACGTGCCGTATGCAGGTCCCGGCCCATCGCTCGAGACAACTCAGGGCATTGAGCCACGCGCTCTACTACGTCTAAGCCGGTCTGCCACGCTTGTTTGATACTGCAGAGCCTCATAACAGCAAAGCACGCCGCCGCACTGGGCCTCTCCCCCCGTCGCTCCAACTCCTCCAGTAGTCTCAGAGCCCCCTCCAGGTCCCTCGTGGACTTGCAAAATTGGACGGACCTCTCGAATGAGTCCGCCCCAAGCAAATAGAGCGCGTTCTTTTTTTGAGGTCCGCTTATCTGGTTCTCCAGCTCCCTTATCAAGAGCACGCCGTCATCTACCCTCCCAACATACACCATGGCAGAAAGGATCTCCTCTAATAATTTCTGGATGCCCGACCGCTTTGAGTCCTGGAAATGCCTCCCGTCGCTGTCGGGAAGTCCAGTCCTCTGACTCGCTCTTTCATTCGCCTTCCCTTCCCGCAATGCATTTATTCTTTCCCAAAAAAGCCCCTTCATTTCGTCGTCCTTCTTAAGCCCTGCCAAGGCCTTGAGCATCACGCCGTACGTGTGGCTGTCCCAGCCAAGGTTAACCGGTCCCACCCGAGACTCCCTACAAATCTTCAAGGCCTCTTCATATCGCCGACCTCGCAAATAACCCTGAGCAAGGGTATTATACGTTACCCTGTCCGGCTCGCAAGCGTGCCGCTTCATGGCTGGCAGGACAAGAGAGCGGGCGTCATCGACATGCCCAGTTTTACAGCCAATGTCCATCATGATATTGAAAGCCATCAAATTGGGCGCCCCGCCCTCAGCGTTCTCCAAGTCCTTGAATAGGGCTAATGTCTGCAGCCACACTTCATCAGAGTCTACGTCTTTTTTAAGCCTTGGCGATGCATGTGGTACGTGTCCCGTGATATGCGACTCCTCGTCTTCGCTTCGGCCGTACCCCCGCGCCATGGCTTGCCAGGCTGACAGCAATGTTATGTAAGTCACTTCGTCCGGACGCACTTTCCTTTTCTTGACCATTTCCTCCTCGAAGAAATCTCGGGCTCCCTTCGGATCTCTCGCAGCGGTCCCGGCCGCTAAGACGGTGTTGTACGAGACAAGGTCCGGCGCCGGTGCCCTCGGCGGCGTCATGCTTCGCACCAAGGCTTTCGCGTCCTCGAAGGCCCCCGTCTTGGCCAAGACCAGCAACATAGTGTTGTAGTTCACCCGACTAGGCACAGGGCCATGAAATGCACCGCCTGCGGCATTGTCCTCGTGCCTCCCCTTTCCCGCCGCACACATGGCCTCGAACAAGGTCTGTGCATCGGAAACCTGCCCAGTCCGGGCGTATTCGTACAGAAGCGCATTGTAGGATCGCGCCGACGGGCACATGCCGCGAGCGTCAAGACGTTTTAACAAATCTTTGGCAGCCTCTAAATTGCCAGCTTTGACAGCAGCACTGATCACACGCTCGAAGGCCGGCATGGCACGTTCCAAGGCCGATACGCCCACTCCCTTTGCCTCAAGCCGCCCGGCACACTCGCACAGCCTCCTCAGCACCTGCAGCGACTCCTGCCACCGCCTCGAATCCGCGCGCCTGAGCATCTCCAAGGCCACGATGGCATGGACGGGCTTCGACTCATAATCGTGTCTCAAACTACCGCCGCTTGCTACCTTTTCGCCTGTCTGCCTCTGTCTCGGAGATGTGTTCCAATCCCGTGCCAAGAGAGAGCGCGCGAAGGGGGAAATGGATGACGCAGGCAAGGAAGGGGATTCCGACATCCCCGCTATCCACCCTCGACGCTCCATATTCATCAAAAAGGGGACGGAGTCTTTCATGGGTGTTTTAGATAGACGCGCCGCTCCTGTGGCCATGATGCTCAGGAGCAAGTAGTCATCCTCCCAGGCCTCGCCCTCCTGTCCGTCCCGATAGAGGCGAAGCATCTCGTCCCACCGGCCTAAGGCCAGCCATGCACTTAGAGCTTCTTGATAGACGATCGCGTGAAAAGCGCCTTGTCTCAACCGTTTCTGCACGCACTTTTTCAGCTCGGCGTGGTCCTCCAGATGGAGGCAAGCCTCGATGCCAGTAGTAGCCACGTCCTCGGCGGACTGCGAAGCTGTAGAGAGTCCTTGGGACCTCCCGCTCGAGTCTAATGCACCTTGTAGATCACGACATAGGTCGAGAAGACGCTCATACTGCCCCGTCCGTGTCAGAGAGCTTCGGAGGGCTTTGAATGCGATCGCTGTCAAGCCGGTCCTGTGCTCCCTCACCACCTCCCAGGCCCTCCAGCTTCCTGCCCAACCCTTCCGGCGCCCGTTCTCTGCGGCCCCCACGACTAGAGAAGAGCAGAGCTCTTGATCCACTTCAACGCTCCCTTTCAAGTCTTCATTTGTTATCCTGTGCAGCAGCGTCTCTGCCTCAGACATGAGACTTTGGGCGCCACAAGCCCCAAGCACGTGCACGTACGCCTTACGGTCTGGCGCCAGGCCATCGATTGCCATATGATCCAGCATATGTAAGGCCTTGGTCCCATTTCTTTGACGCCGACAGGCATGTATTATATGGTGGTAATTTACTGGGGAGCATTTCAGACCTGAAGCCTTCATCTCGCTCAATACCCGCTCTGCGTTGTCTATATCCCCCGCCCGCGCACACACTTCAATTGCGATGGTGCACGCTTTTACATCCAGATGTTGCCCTTGGCTTTTCATAAGGCTTAGAACCCCCAATGCGCTGTGTGCGTCGCATGCCTCCCGACTGATCTCCAAGACCTTGTAATATGCTTCGGGACTTAGAGCGCTTCTGATACTTCGCAGCCAGGTCAAGGAGCTCACGGCATTTTTTTGCTTTTTCAATACCTCCAAAGCGTCCAAATTGGTTTCTGGCGCATGTGGGGGAGTACCTCCCAGTGCTAAAGGAGTGGATGAAAAATAGGCACGCTGATTTGTCCCCAAGGGGGGGGGGAGGGTAGCTGGAGAAGAGACATGCCAGCCACGTGATAAGCCAGGGCAAGAGGAAACTTTTGCAGTACGTCGCAGCAGTAACTTGACTCCATAATGGTGCCGAACAAAGCAGCGTTGCATACTAGGGGAGGGGAATATTCTGGTTGGGGCGATGATTCCTATCTCCCCCGAGGAGGGGAGATCTTGACGCCACTGGAGAGACTTACGACCACTGCATGTCCACAAGGCAATGAATGTCGGCTTATGCTTCAATGCGATCTGCCATTAGTGTGGGAATACCGCCATGAATCAAAAAATGAAATTGGATTTGGATCTAATACGCAGGAACCCGGCAATGAGTAAGGCAATCTCCGGGTATACTTCTCTGCGACCAGCCAGCGGAAACACTCAGCACTTACAACAACTGTGGCGACGCTAAGGACGGTACATTTGTACACAAGCGCGCACGTTTGGCAATGTTGGCTTACTTCTTTTCGGAGCAAAGTTTTGCGTGCTTCAGATCATGTTTCTATTATCCACATGGCAATATGACACTTCCTCTTTTTCTTGGTACAGTCTCTTCTTGGCATGAGTGCTTACAATCCACCACTGGATACTAAAATCATTTTTTTTCATAGATTCCAAGTTGGTGGTCGCTTTTCTACAAAGGCCGCTATTCCTTCTTCCGTGTCGGCTTCCGTCATGTTGGTGCTGTGATGTTATCAGAGACGCAATGAGGCAGTGACGGGGTGATTCCGGCAGTGCTGAGACAACACACAAAGTTACATACAAAAGCAAGGGTCGACAGAGGAGCGGCATTTATGGATGATTTCCCTACGTACCTCATCACATAATCGGCCATATCGTCTAAATAAGCGCGGACACAAGCGTGTTATGATATGAGAAACAGGAGTAGAAAGAGTGAGCGACACAACGCTACACCATGGTATCACACCACTTGATGACCATCGCCATCCTGACCCCCTTATTCTCCCTCTCCCCCCCATCCACGCACATGCCCCCGCTATCGAAGATTTCTCCAGTTGCGAATAGAACAATCGTTTTCCCATCGAGATCGCCACGGGCGGGTTTTGGGCTATCTCTGTCACCAGACGCAGCACCGTCGCCTCAAGCTCCTCGTGCGGACACACGGAGTTCACCAGCCCCCAGTCCAGAGCTTTTTCTGCCTGGATGTACTTCCCAGTAACTAGCATTTCAAATGCCCGTTTTCGGGAGAGGTTTCGGCTCAGAGGCACGCTGGGGGTGGCGCAAAAAAGGCCGAGTTTGACGCCGGAGGTGGCAAATTGGGCGTGGGAGGAGGCGATCGCCAAGTCACAGGCAGCGACCAGCTGGCAGCCTGGGAAAAGGGAGGGAGGATGGGAGGGAGGGAGGGATCGCATAAAGATGGAGATTCCTCGCTCTTCGGTCGTTCGACTGTCGAAGCGGGAGCCTGGCGGCCGAGGCCCCGGGACCACTCCCTCCCTCCCTACCTCCATCCCTACCTGCCCCTGTGGCCAGTCCATTGACCGCCGCCAGCACCGGCTGAGGAACACGCTGGATGGAGAGCATGAAGCGGGAGCAGCGTGCGAACATGCGTTCGAAATACTGCTTGTCTCCCTGGGAGTCGTGCATCTGGTAGAGGTCGTGTCCGCCGCAAAAGGCGTGGCCCGCGCCCGTCAAAACCACGGCGCGGACCCACTTGTCGGCGGGGAGCCGGTCAAAGACTGCCTGAAGCTCCTGAAGGGTGGCATTGTTCATGGCATTCGAGTGTCGGGGCCGATTTAAGGTGACGAGCAAATACCCGCCCTTGGTCCCGGCAAGAGCGCGGCGCTCCACGAGGATAGGGTCGGTGGTGGCCTCCGGCTCCTCGGAGGGGGGCGAAGAAGGAGGGGACATGGCGGAGGAGGACAAAGAGTGCTGAGAAAATGTCGACTGGAGCCTGCAACGACTCTGACGAACGGCGCCAAGTATTCGAGCTCCGGACCGGAACAACATGATCGCGGGAGAGTCTGCTCGAGAGGGAGGGAGGGAGAGTTGAATTTAGAAGGGGAAGAGATGTGCTTGCGTCCAAGAGGGGGGACTTTGGCAATCATGCGTCATTTCCTTGTCGTATTGAATCGCAGGAGAGTTGCGTGCATAAGCAAGACTCTGCAGGAGCATACTGGATGTGTGATTGCATCAATCCCCCGACAAACTACGAGGTCGTACGACACAGTTTTGCGGCGGTCAGAAGCAATCGATGCTGTTCGCTATGGCAATCCCTCTATACCAAACGCAGGACTGGTCCCTGGCGTCCGGCTGTTGGAGATGCAGGTCGCGATAGACGTCAACGGGCCTTACACCCTAGGGTAAGGCAAGCGTGCTCTACAACTCACAAGATGGTTGAAGCCTCCTCAATTAGACGGCTGGATGGTTCGTGACAGGATAATTCCTTAGGCGAGACCCGTGTCTTAAACGGCTGTGCTTTGAATTGAAAGTATGAGAGAGCGTGCGTATAAGCTTGCCATCACGTAAATGTTCAGAACAAGGACCAGGGAATCTCCACCTAATAAAAACAGTACAACAACTGCGTCGGTCCTCTTTTCCCATTGATACGCAGCATGTAAGGCAATCGACATTTCAAGGCTCCATTTTTTCTTAGATTAGCAGGCTCTTGACGACACACACCTCCAACTAGCTTCTTCAGGCCTTCAACGAGCAGCAGAAAACGTGTCGCTCGTTTGCACGCGCGCAGGCATCGTAAGCCGGCACCTGAGCCCTCGTTGTCCTTTTTGACTGATCCATTGACGAAACTATTAATTTGATACAAGCTGGTGCTTATCGTTACAGGGGCTCCAAGGATGAATGCGCTTGTGCACAAAGGTGTATTCGTGATTAAAAAGTAAGGGGTCAGGAGGTTGGAAGGGGGCGGAGACGGTACATACTCCTTGATTTATCTAGTCCCACAGGCGCAAATGAAGCAGCAAAGACGGTACATACTCCTTGATTTATCTAGTCCCATAGGCGCAAATGATGCAGCAGAGACGGTACATACTCCTTGGTTTATCTTGTACTACAGGTGCGAATGATGCAGCAGAGACGGTACATACTCCTTGATTTATCTTGTCCTACAGGTGCAAATGAAGCAGCAGCAATCCATTGCTTATTAAAAAGAAGAAATTTGCTGCGCGGTCATTTCATGGACAGTCGATTGAAATTTTGAGGCCTTCTTTTCCTGTTCCTTGATTCCCTCCCGCGCCATAGGTGCTTACTCCCAGTCCCCTGGACGCGAGCCATGAGCACAAGGTGCCTACGAGCAGGTATATGGCAAAGCATATGATGTGAAAGCCTGCTTTACTTCGTAGAGTCGCCAGCTGCAGTCGTCATGACAACTCCTTGTGATCGGAGAATACTCGTACTCAACCTTTATAACCCAAAAAAAGATGTACGACTGTTCAAAAGTAATTCAATTTAAGCATGGATTAAACCGGGGTATCAACAGAAACAGCGTCCCAAACGTTCTTCTTCTACACTCCCTCGCTTAAAACAAAAGTTTGACATACATGAGGGGCCCTCACTCCTTCTCACAATCCATGCGACACCTGGTCTGATGGGACACGAGAGCGTCGCAATCACGCCTTAGTCGTGCCATCCTCCAGTGTACGCATCTCTTGAGCTCAAACAATCCCTAAAAACATGCCCACACGACAAGAGTAATCGCCTTTGTCCCCCTCACAAGGATTTGTCATCCTCTGCTGCGTGCTTGCACCATGACTGGGAGGGGATGTGCCATGCAGGAGCGATGGGCCGCCGCTGTGTATGTGTCCGTGTGGTTGGCGAAAGTATTAGTCTCGTAAAGGAGGCGACTTACGGTTAGGCAGTGGATGTAGATTTGATATCATTACAGTCTCTCTCTGCTCTTTCAAAACTG